TCAATATTACCTTATTGCAAGGGGGAAACCAATAATAATTTATTTATTTATCTATCATATTTATATGCCACCCATGTCACAGAAACGATTCTGGGTGGCATACAATAAAACCATTAAAAAACAGTAATTACAGAAAAAATCCCTCTAAAATTAAAATATAAATATTATTATCATAAAAAAAATCTAAAAAGGGATAGGGAGTGCATAGATGTTACCCACAATGTAGCCACTTCATTAAATCCCCACTTTCCGTGAGACCTCCAAGCCTGCTGACATAACCAAGTTTTAAGGGACTTCTGGAAGGACATAAAGGAGGGGGCCAGTCTCATCTGGGGAGGGGCTGATGATGTTCCATAGGGCCGGTGCCATGGCAAAAAAGGCCCATCTCCTGGGTTCCGTCAAACGTAGTTCCTTAGCAGATGGGCCCCGGAGCATGCCTCTTCTGCAAGACCTGATAGGACAGGTGGAAGTAATTGGGAAGAGGCAGTCCCTCAGATAACCCAGCCCCATGTCATGAAGCGCTTTAAAGGTCAGAACCAGCACCTTGATTTGTATCCAGAAGCAAACTGGCAGCCAATGCAGCTCATGGAGCAGAGGTGCAATGTGTGCCATTCTAGGGGCACACATAACTGCCCACGCTGCTGCATTTTGCACCAACTGAAACTTCCAGATATTCTTTATTATGCCCCCAAAGACCTTCTGGAATAACCAGATATTTCATAAATCTTAAGAGGATTGATGCCAATCAAATTCTCAGGGAATGCTCTTCCAAAGAATGGAGGAAGCAATAGAGAAGAACCTCCCTTGTATCACTCTGACAAGCATTCTCTGTCTTGGGACCTGAAGGGAACATTCCCTCCCAGACCTTATTAGATGGGCAGTATCACATATGCCATGTAGGTGACACCTTTAAAGGTTGACAAGCAGCCCCTTGAATTGCACCTCAGAAGCTAACTGGTAACGAATGCAGCTTCTGCAGCTCTTGTATTTGCAGAATGAGAATCACCCATAACTACCTGAGTCAGTACATTCTGGACCAGCTATAGCTTCTAATGGCATTCAAGGGCAGACCCATGTAGAGTGTGTTGCAATAATTCAACAAAGAGGTGACTAAAGCATGAGGGCCTCCTGATCCAGAAATTGTCATAACTGAGACACAATATGGAGTTGTGCAATGGCCCTCTTGGCCAAGGCTGCCACTTGCTTCTCAAGCAGGAGCTATGAATCCAGGACCTCCAGAATTCACACCAGTTTGGCATGGAGGAACTTGATGCTATCTACAACCAAAGATATCCCTGGCTTCTCTTGGCTACTGAATTCAGAGCCATTCTGTTCTTCTCAGGCTGAGCCTCAGTCCGTTCCTCCCTATCCATTATTACCCTTTAATCCATAAATGTGCACTCTCATTTACAATATGCACACTCATTTTCTGCTTTAACATTCAAAATGATGAAATGTAGCAGAACACACACCTCCAAACCCCAAGCAAACAAAAAGGAGTGACATGCACAATTTCTTTATTAACATTTTGTACCCCACATATCAGTCAAAATATAAATTTCTTCCCTTTTTTATTTACACTTCAAAAAGTTTCAGAGGGGTGGCTCCTCTTTCAGCCAGCTGCCTAGCTAAATCTTCAATCTGACATGGTTATCCTGCCATTGTTATTAACACAGTCAATTTCTGTAGACTGTACTATCTTTAAAGACCTGCATGGAACTCATTGCCTTTTAGATGAGCATTGCCCTTTCATTTACACTAAAGGGTAAAGGGTGTTACTAATAGGAATTTAACATTTACTAAAGAATTATTTTAGCTGTAGGTTTAACAGCAATTTTATTATTCTTTCAACACCCTTACCTATCAGTTCCATCTGCTTAGTTACCTTCTAATTTGTTTCCATATAAAAGGAACAAAAGGAAATATATATATAGAAAAAGAAAATTGTTTTTCTTGTTTCAGAAAGAGAAAATCAAACACTTTATTAAGGTTTCTTCTTAAATGTTTCTTCTCAAAGCAATGTTAAAATATCAAGTACGTCCATTTATATATCCATTTCCAATGCATGGAAGGATTTCACTACCTGCTTATTTCCTGTGAATGACAAAGCACACCTACAGCTAGAAACTTGAAGGGATTTCTCAAGTAAATTAGTAAGTTTCACAAAGGAATCTATATCTATATCTATATCTTATCTATATCTATATCTCTGTCTATATTTCTATCTGTATTCATTCAGTACAATCCCTGAACCAGACAAAAATCTCATCCCCTTTTCTACGATAAGAATAATAAATATATATTAGTGTGTGTGTGTACACACACACACACACACATTCTCCTGTTATGGTTTAAATTGTGTATACACAGACACGTTCTCCTGTTATGGTTTAAAAGTCATATAAAGATATAGTACTGTCAGCAGACCTGTTTGCCATCCTAGAGGGTCAAGACAAGAGCAAGTTTCTTGCAAAATCCTTGATTCAAGTGGCAGATGAAGAGACATGGCCTGGTGCCAGCTGTGGTTCCAGGGTTGGGAACAGCTGGGTCCAATCCCTTGCCATAAGAAAAGATCTCTTTATAGCAAGACAAAGGACAAAGGCTGCAGAAGTTTTCCAAAGCAAGAGCTGGGGCCAATATCTTATTCTGAGGATCCTTCTTCAGAGCAAGGCACTATGGCCAAAGTAGCTGTGGAGACCAGCTGGGCTGTATATGCAGTCTCTGTGGCTCTCCATAATGCCCCAGCCTGAAGATGGATCTTTCAGAACAAGATATTGATTAGTGAGACTGCCCATTCTACCACAACTAATGCATCAGCAAAAACAAGCAAACAGTAAAGAGGTGGGAGGGATAACACTTGTGTAATTTCTCACTCCATGAGGGAGGACATTTTATGCCAGTTCTGAGTTACAACATTTACAATGAATCCATATTTAAATGAATGATTCTTATTCCAATTAATTTGCATTCTGCAGCAGTAGCAAACAGGAGTTTGTCAGCTTTATTCCCCCATTCCCCTGGCATTCAATCTTGGTCAGAGCCCATGGATGGTAGACAGAAGTTGTTAAGGAATTGTGACTATTCACTTGATATACTTGGTTCACTTGATGTACTTAATTGGGTCAAGGAGAGGTAGTGTGCCATGAGAATACCCAATTCAGTCGATTAACCTAAAGGGAGATAAAGTTAGCTGCACACATTCTCAAAGTTGCTTGGGACTAAACTAACTCCCTTTCTCCTAAGCAGCTATATAAGCCAAATAGGAATTGATTGTCCTGCCCTACCTCCAAGGCAGAGGTGACATCCTAGAGCAGTCCCAAATAACAGCTTCTCTAGGCACTCCGTCTCCTTCATTTTTAGTTCCTCCCTGACCATGGCTATATGGGAAATTGAAAAAAAGGGGTAGAATGGTTTTGAGGTAGATAAGCTCACCCCCCCCACCCCCCCGCAGCTCCAGACAGTGCTACCAACTAGATTTGTCCCCCTTTTGGATTTGGTCTGAGAGATTAAAAAAAAAGACAGGCTGTGACAGCCTCTCAGCCTTTTAATGACAGCTAGGAGGACCAAGAAAATGCCCAGTTGACCTTGTCATTTCTGACTATATGCTGCCAGCTCATCAGAGGTAACCAAGATAGCTGATTTCATGAACAGTGTTCTGCAAACATGACTGTCATACTAGAGTTCAGGGAAAGTTAGAATGTTTCTTCTTAGGGAGAAAGAAGAATAGAACATTACAGACAAGTAGGACATCTTTCTCAGCATTAATATGTGGAATATTAAGTTTATATTTTCCACATCTACCTGTTTAAACCAGCTTGTGATAGTTTTGGAATAGCAGATCAGCTATGTTTATGGAAATCAAACTGCAGCCTCAGCCATTCTGAACATCATCACAAAATATAATAATTCCTATCTACATTTTATTTTCTGCTCTGGCTGGCTGATAGCAATAATGTATGAAGCAAGAGTGATGTAGTTACATCTGCATAAGTTGATCCTGCATAGACATAAAGAGGCCAATCCACCCTCACCCCCCGAAGGGAAAAAAAATATGAGAGAGAGAGAGAGAGAGAGAGAGAGAGAGAGAGAGAGAGAGAGAGAGAGAG